AACCAAGACAGATTATGTAAAGGTGCAAATTTCCAATGATGAATGTCATTATATTATATACCTAAAGTGTACCAATAAAATAATATTTTTTAAAAATCAAAAGATTATTTTATGTTACCATGTTCAATAATTTTTTTCCAGGAGTTTTTCATCTTTCTCCAATATGTTAGACAGAATATATTTAAATTTAAGTTTTTGAAAATCTCTCAGTTGTCCCTATATCACAATGGTACCCCTAAAAACAGTGAGATATAAAAATGAGTTTTGCATTTTCTGGAAAAGTGAAAGCTATTTTTTTGAAACAACTAACTAATTCTTTTTGCTTTGTTTTGTGGCCTCAGTTGTTCTTAATTCTCATTGTGCCTGATTGTAGCCATCAACATCGAGTTCATTTTGACATGCTGGCTTTGCTTTGTGAGAAGCTGGCACCTCACTCTCACATTTTCATGAGCTGATGGTGCTCAGCCTAGAAGTAAAGGGTGTATATTTTTGTTTTCTGTGTTGGCTGCACAGAGAGCCCTTTTTACATCCTGATTTCTCAAGTATACTTTAGGTCATTTGTAGTTGCTTGGTCAGCAACATTCATGTCAGGGAAATGTCCCGATAATAACATTTTATTTCCCACATTTCCATAATACTTAAAATTGAAATTCACATTATGGTATACATTATCATTTTAAGATTCTACAAAGACTTTTTCCTTATGACACAGCTTCAGCTACATCATTATAAATGTTAGTTTTTCATTTGATGACTAAAGTATAGTTTTGAACTGTAACATAAAATTCATATAATATTTGACCATAAAACTAGCTTTAAAATAATTCCAAATGCACTGACTGAAACTATGATGTAATTTTTTTCTTTCTTGTCCATTTTGATATGGCATGGAGATTCAAATAAATCAGATGTCCACTAAACCCCATCCAGCGATACAATTTCCAATGTCTTTTGACAAGTAACATGTACATACTACAAATCCAAAAGCAACATATGAAAGTGGCTCTTCAAAATAGCTACATTCTTCAAAGCTATCTCTGTATAATTACCTTGTTGCCTAAAAAATGTGTAATGGAAATACATAAGTGACTAAACCATCAGTGGAAACAAGAATATTCTTAATATGCATTAACATTATTTTAAGGGCCTGTTGAACAAGCAGATCCCAGATACCCATGGCTGACTTGCCAATTGAAAATCCTTGAAAGGCCCAGAAATTGGCATTTGAAACAAATACTCCCTGTCTAGTTGGCATAGATGTTTCTTAGAACAAACTTTATGTAGCATTGTGGTAAACCTTAGCTAAGCAACATTTAGTGATAAATTGCATCATAGTAAATTGCGTTTTCCAAAGGTGACTGCACCAGCACGTGACATACCATGCTATATGCTCTTCCTGTAAGAGGAAAATGACATTCTTCTATCAAATGATGGAATTTATGCTACCTCTGCTTGAATATGGATAGACTTTGGACTGCAATGGAAGGATGAGATGTGACTTGTAAGAACAATTATGCAATAAGATTCTGCCTGGTTCTCTTATGATGCGTGCCCTGAGGAATCCAGCCACCATGTTGTAAAAAAGCCAAGCAACCATGTGGAAAGGCCATGTGTAGGTCTTTTTGCCACAGCTCCAGTTGAAACCCCTAGAAACAGCCAGTCACCAACCACCAGATGCGAAGTTGGTCTTTAGATGATTCTACCCTCCATTTTACGTCACCTCAGTAGAATAAAAATGAGCTCCATTCCCTAGCTCTGCTCAAATTTCTGATTCGTGAATAAAATTAAATCGCCGCTTTTTAAAACTGAAGTTTTATACTAGCTTAATGCAGCAATCAATAAATCAGAACAAATTCCAAATACTTCTGCAATTTCTTCAGATGAGAGATAAGGCCACAGAAAAACCTTAATGCATTCCAGTTTGCACTTAAGGATTTCTAACTCTATCTAGCCAGATCTACTGCCAGCCCAGAATAACAACTTACTGGGTTCTGTATTGGTAATTGCCTCGATCTACCATTCTCAACTAAGAGGGATTTTGCTCCCCACAAAACATTTGTCAGTGTCTGGGGACATGTAAAGACTGTCACAACTGGGGAGAGGTGTGAAGCTGGCACAGAAGGCGTGAAGCTGGAGTAGAAGCCAGAAAGGCTGCTAAGGATCCTACAGAGTATAAGGACAACCCCTGCCCCAAGGGAAAAAAAGTAGAATTACCAAACCTAAAGAGTAGCAAGGTAGAGAAACTCACCTACATCTGGTCAACTGTTGTGAGCTACTCAGCTCTCACCTATGACTTTCTTCATCATCACATAGCTCTGGTGGTCTGAAACCAGGAATGAAAGAAATGTGATTAAAGAAATTATATTTTTAACCTATGCAAGTATCATGGTCTGAATGCTTGTGATCCTCTAAAGCATGATTTAATTTAACTCATAATTTGTAAGTTAAAACCTAACCCTAGATATGATGACATTGAGAAGTGGGGCCTTTGGGTAGTGACCTGCTCATGAGGGCTCCCATGAGTGGGACTAATGCCATGTTAAAAGGATTTACAGAACACTTTTTTGTCTTTCTGTGGTTTGCAGTCACAGATAGAAACTTCCATCTCTGAGGAAGGGGCTCTCACCAGACACAGAATCTGCTGGTGACTTAATATTGTGCTTTTCAGCCTCTGGAATTTTGAGCAATAAATTGCTGATGTTTCTAAATTGCTTAAAGTATTTTTGTTACAGCAGCAGGAATGAACTAATCTAGCAAGTGAGCCAGTGGCTCTCAACCATGTCTATGAATTAGAGTACCATTTTTCCCTATACCCATGCTCAATTCCCAACTCTAGAGATTCTGATTTTTAAAAGCACTGTATATGAGCAATTTTTTAAAAGCTATGTAATTCTAATGGATAGCTTAGCATGAGAACTAAGGCTCTCCACCCTTTACCTGGAAATTGTGACTCCTCACTTAGGAACACTGGGGAAGACTAAAGGGTAAAGTTTAAAAATCCCAATCAGTGATTTTGATCTATCTTCCATTTCCCCACTGACAGCCTGTGGCCTGTGTATTCCCCTGCATTCAGCCTACCACATTCCATCAAGAAAAAGACCTGAGCCAGGCCCATCCTTCATTTTTCTGTACAAATTTAGGATGGAAGCAAACTCACTTTAATTGATCTTTGTTACACCAGTAGGGAGCATCCTTTAGTAAAAACTGAACACCCAATTCCAGGACAATGAGTCCAGTCTGCTATGTACCTTTCACTGATAAAATCACCTCTGCCTTCTAGATTGTCCATTACTTGCTTAAGTATATGAAAACATCAGTCAATATTCTAAGAATTTTACTACTGGAATATCTAGCTAAATCAAATTGATATGATTTACAAAGTTAAAGATGACGACAAAAGTTGCTGGTAGGATGTTATTCTGCTGAGATCAGTTCATTTCTTTCTAAGCAGTACATACATTGCCCCCTCACAATGCAAATCCATTCCCGTCTGCCTCAGAGGCTAAATAGATGAAAGTCTGCTCATTAAAAAGAAAAAATTATGCGTGAGAAAGGGAAAATGTGAAATAGCCTATTATTATAATAATTACCTCAGCAAAAATGTGTTATTTCATCATGAAAATGAGCTTTTCTGAACTTGTCATTATTGCATTACACTTCTGGTAAAAAGAAAAAATCAAAACTACAATTTTCTTTTCAAAATGTATTCATCAAAGGAAAACACCTATTTAATAAATTTCCCAATAATTATCAAGTTGTAACTTTTGTGTTTTTAACTCTTTTCCATTAAAGCCCAAATTAGAAAGCCCCTTTCTTGTCATATTTAATGCTAGCTGAATATCTAGAATAATTTTGTTCAGTATATGTGCTCATATCTTGTAGAAGTCAGTCATGACTAAGAGCTTTATTTTTCTGAGTCGGATTTCCTAGGTTTAAATCCTAACTCCATCATTTGCAATGTGGTCTTGGTCAGTTATCTTTTTTCCTTAAATTCTTTTATTGGTTCATTTTAGGCATACAATACATTTACATTTATCATTGGGTATTTGTACTTGTACCTGATGTATCTTGGTTCTTATTTTTTCCCCATTCCCTGTCCTGCCTTCACCCCCTCCACCCTTCCCTATTTACAAAGACTTTGTTTCCATTTTTTTCTTTTCTCATAGTTTTTCCTTTCCCTTCTTTCCTTTCCCCTTCTCCTCCCACTTCCCCTACCCCTTTGGACCTTTTCTTCCTATTTCATATTATCAATTATTCGTTTTAATCATTTGAATCCTTATTCACACTTATTTTATCTCCTGTGACTCAGTTTCCTCTTATGAAAAATGGTGACAATAATAGGACTGACTTCAGAGTTGCCTCTGAGGACTGAATGATTGAATGAATAGAATCTTAGCATAGCCCCTCACACATAAAATTTATTTAATGAAGAGTATATTTTCACTTCCAAATCTGTAATAGCAGTTCATTTTCTGTTAAACGTCAGACATACATTTTCAACTGTCTTCTAGATATCTCCATCTGAAGTTCCTCAGGCCATTTCTAAACCTATGTCTTCCCATATGCCTTAACTCATCACTGACACCACTCTACTAAAACAGAGGAAGGTGCCTGGAGTGATTTTTCAAGCTCTGGCATCCTTCCAGAAGAAGGTTATATAGCAATTATATTTTGAGTTGTTTTTTTTTATTCTCTAGAGACATATTGTTATCAAACAGAATGTTTAAAATATTTTAAGTGACCATTTAAATTACTCTAATCCTTGTCATCTACCTTTGAACCTATTCTGAAGAGTATTTTTAGTGGTTTCTTAAAGGTGCTAGGCTTAACTTGCCACTGAACACTTAAGTAACAAAATTGGAGGTTGCCAAGTTTGTACTCATGTCTTCACTTGAGCATCTCCCACTGTCCTCAGTGTCCATGATGAAAAGCCATATTATTATTTAGTTTCAGGATCTGAAGCCAGCCAGCCAAGGTCTAGGACTGCAGGCCTTTTATATATTTATTTTAAAATGTGTTATTAAGTATATGTTTGCAGTGCACAATGATTAAATTCATTGTGGGGAGTTGGTACATGTACATAACACATCTTAATTCTTTTCACTTCCCCTTCCACTCCACTCCTCCACTCCCCCCACCCATCTCTTGACTTTACCCTTTCACAAATCCTCCCCTTCATCTTTTTTTAGGGTTCTTTTTAAAAAATATATGTTTGCTGTACATGCAGTTTACATTCATCTCAGTGAGTGGGTATCTATACATAATACAACTTGTTTCTTTGTTTCATCCCCTTCCCCTTCCCTCCTCCTCTAAATCCCATGTCCCCATTTTCATTCCTGTTGGCATTATTAATCTTAGCTCATGTTTGTGACATATACTGTTTACATTCATTGAGGTTATTAGGTTATGAACATCAGGCAGATACTGCTAGGATAGCCCCATATTTATAAGTTAAAAACAATTGTCCCTAAAGAATTCAGTAATATTCACTCAGAGAAATGCCAGTTTTTCTCTCATGAGGATTACTAATTCAATAAATAACGTCTTTTGAAAGTCAAGAAACACTAGCCTTACAGAATGCAATGGACATAATACATTTTTAAGAATTCAAACTCAATTGAACATCAAGAAAAAGAAAATCCTTAAAAGATAGGAAATTTTCAGTTTTCTAAAAGTAAATCCAATTCAATGAAGAGAAGCCCAGGCTATAAGTTTACTATCTCTAGCTTTGGGATGAGCTTAAGGACACGAAGATATGTCTTTAAAGGAAATCAAAGAATGGGAGAACAATGAAGTAGGGATAGTTATTCTCCCCATCCCCTCCCTGCAGACAACCTCGATCTATATTATTTTTGCTATTGATGAATATATAACATAGATATCCACACAGAACAGAACAAAAATTATAAATCCATGATGAACACACCAGCATAAGAGTAAAGCAATTAAAATCTATCATGAAAATTCAATGTCTTCCCAATTTTTGAAAATACTAATGAAAACGTATTACTTTTTAAATGAAAATAATTTAATGACTTAAAAATGAAGGCTATTACAAGATCATGCCTAGAGGAATCTGGAAAGATTTTTGTAGAAGTGGATTTAGAAAGAATTCTTGACAATTAAGTAAGACAAGTAAGAAAAAGGGGCAAAACGTGACTGGCTGAGAAGAAAGGTTCCAAAAAGGCAAGTGAAAGTGCTGACAGAAAGGCAGGACCCTGTTCTGCAGAGACTGGGTAGATGGAATTGGGAAGGGGGAAGGGGGTTTCATAGAAAAGGAGCCATAGTGTCCAGGTTTCACTGTTGGTGCTAACTGACCCTCTTTTGGCCTGGGAGAGAGGTCGGAAGATGGCACAAACTGAACCACTGAAGAAGAGAACCATTTAGATTTGTGTTTCAGAAGGAAAACTCGGCAAGCACTGTGGAGAATGGAGAGCTGCGAGTTCCAGAGGAGGCTGTCATGTTTGTACTAAAGAGACTTACTATGGAGAAGGCAGTAGAGAGGAAAGAAAAAAATTGCAGACACCTCAATTTATGTATTTTCCACAGCAGCGATACTGAGAGATGCCAAGAATAAATAATCAGAAGAAACCAAGGAAAAAATCATGACGTACTTCTGATAATTGCTCAGGGTTCTGAAAGGAAGAGAAAGAAAAGCCCATCGCAGAGTCACAGGTCACCTTTGCTCACTCGCTGAAATGGGATGATTACGGGGCTCTGCAGCATCGAGTCCCGGCACAGGCTCCGCTCGTCCCTGCTGACATCCATGGTCGCATTCTCAGAAGACACCAATCTCTAACCAAACATCCTAGTAAACTGTGCAGTACCCAACACTGGCAGGTGGAGAACTTATCTATGCGTACATGTTCTTAATGCTTTTTTACCATGATGCATCATTAGGCTTCTTTGAGCATTTGATGCATCTTTTTTTTTTTTTTTTTTGGTACCTGGGATGGAACTCAGGACCTTGAGCTTGCAAGTCTCGGTGCCACTGAGCTAAATCCCCAGCCTTTTTTAAACCTTGTTTTAAAGCCCCCCCAATCCCCACCCCTGCCCCAGAATGGGGGATCAAACCTTGCGCTTGCAAGGCAGGTGCTGCGCCACTGAGCTAAATCCCTGGCCCTTCTTTCTTTCTTTTTTTTGGTACCAGAGATTGAACTCGGATCCTTGCGCTTGCGAGCCTTATTTCCTAAATTAGTATTTTGGATAACTAATGAAGCTGAGCTTTCCCTATACATCCTTAAGCATTTGTATTCCCTATCATTCTTACACATCTATCTATTGTAGCATCAATGGTTTCTAATGAATTGCTATGAGAATTCC